TTTTTCAGGCGTTTTCACAGGCATCCAGAGATGCTCTCTTCTAGAGGATGTCGTGTCACCAGTTTCTTAGTAGCAGAAGGGGAGCGACGAGAATAGCTGATGAGTACTCTCTGCTAGGAGTGCTAGGTTTCTATGAATGAAGAGAGAAAGAATGATGTTAAAGTTGATTAAGAGACCAGAAAAAAAAAATTAGGTGTTAAAATATGACAAAATAATGTTAATAGAAAATAAAATAGGGTGTGAACGTCACTATCTGATATTGATACTATTGTGTCAGAAACTAATGACACATATACATCGTAAAAACATATGTCGTATTTTCACGACACTTTATTAAAAAGTGTCACTAACAAAGTGTCATTATAAGCATGTTTTCTAATAGTGACTGCTAGAATGGTGGGAAACTATATAGGTGAGTTTATTATTTTTTTGGAGGGCCATTTTGATGAAAAGTGGGAGTCTTATTTGAGAATCAGGGTGAGAATGGATGTAAAGAAGCCTTTGAAAAAGGGCTCTACCCTTACGAGAGGGGGAATTGAACATTGGGTGAACTTTAAATATGAAAAATTCCCTAATTTTTGTTTCATTTGTGGGGTGATTGGGCATTCTGATAAATTCTGTCCCTTGAAATATGAGGAGGATATAGTTTTGGAAAAAACTTTTGGGGTAGAACTTCGAGCAAGTGGAGGGGTGAAGATTAGCCCAACACACGGGGTAATAAGTGGTCAGTGAAAAAATATCCAGGTTCAAGGGTGGTCAGACAACAGAGGAGGACAGGTCAAGAGGGTGAAGGTACTGGGGAACAATGAGGGCGAAAGTCTACAGCTGGTACATATAATAATGTCACCAAAGAAGGAGGCATAGGCAATACTAAGGAGGTGTCAGTGAACTAGAAGCGCAGAATGTGGGCCGGGGCCCCTGGTCCATATACTCCATCAGCATTAAATCATCAAATATCAAGCCTTAGCATTTAAACATCATATTCCATGCAATTCCATGCAAAATATACATATATAGGTTGGCCGGGGTTGATCCCCCCTCAAACCGGGTCCCGATACGCGTTTTCGGCAAAAACGGGCATCAGAACCCGTAGGCTAACCGACGCCGATTCTCCCTCAGATCGGCGTCGGTTCACTGCATTTTCTCGTGAATCGGCTAGACAATGGCTTAACCGGCGCCGTTTCAGGCCCCTAGCCGGCGCCAGACTTCCTGCCGCTGTCCCGGGTCAACGGTTCGTTGACCCCCAAAACGTATTGCATTTTCTCCGAAACCTATACACAATATGTATTAAGTCGTAAACAATCAATAAATATCATTTTGGTCATTCAAAACATCACATATGCTTTTATATGCATTTTTATTCAATTACATGCATAATATACCATTTTAGTTCACACAAGCCTAATCACCTTGACTAACTACATGTTTAAACTCATCTAAACATCTTTATGAATATATATAACATTTTTAGTTAATCTCATACTTAACCCAAGAGTTATAAGATATTAAGTCGTCCACTCACCTTCAATGAGTTTTAAGAAGTTCTACCCCTCTTAGTTGAACTCTGGTAAAACTCTGGCGAGATTTGAAGAACTCCGACGGTACCTCCAGTGACTCTTTGAACTCCGTGAAAGCATTAGAAACATCTGAGACAAGTTCCTAACAAGGTTTCATCATCACAAAAATCACATCAACACAAATAACCTCTAAAAGGTTATTTTCCGGCGAACCGGTCACTCTGGCTTCTAAATCCGTTATTGGACTTCGAACTACCTTTCAACCCCTTATTCTACACTTCTAAATATGTAGAACAATAATAGGTGTCCTTCGTATGATATATAAGTCATATGAGAATTAAATGATGGAAGAAAAGTACTAAAGAGCCTTTACCACTAGTAGAATACTGGCCTACAGTGACACTTTCAGATATAATGCTACTACTAACACAAAAGTTTCACTATTTTCTAACATAAATACATCACCATCAAATAGTGACACCTTTTAGGGAGTAGAGTAAAAAATCTACTAATGGGCCAGCCTACAAAGTACTACGTAGTATTTCAACACTTGCGTTTTTCCCACTAACCTCTCTTTTCAGATCAATTGTCAGCTTCCTTGACCTTGCAGCGCGCAACTCCATCTCCTTAGTCAGTGATTCCTTCTCGTTACTAGCCATCAGTTCTCGTCACCGCCATTTCATCGCCTCCTGCCTAGACGTCTCTGGATACACCCAGTGGCGGACCCAGAGATTTGTGAGAGCAGGGCACACTAGACACTAAACTTGCTCTATAATAAAATTTCAAATGTAATAAAAAATGGTAAAACATGAATTAAATTATACAGAATAGTTAATTACATATTAAATAGTCCACTACTGCAACTTTGGTAAATCAAGCCTACGAGTTTTCATATTCTGAAAAATGTTGCATAATAGTTGCATTATCAATGATTCTAAAAACATCTCTCTCGATGTAGCACACCAAGCAATCCGTAATATAGTCATCTCACATCTTATTGCGAAGATCTGTCTTGATAATATTCATCGCAGAGAAGGCCCTTTCAACGATGGTTGTTGCAACTGGTAATACTAAAGCCAGCTCAATTAGACGATATACCAAGTTAAAAGAATTGTGAACTTTAAGTTCAATCATCTTTTTACAAACTTCACCAATAGTTTGTACGACAGAAAATAATTCATATGCTCTCATTACATCATCTCTTACTCGAGGCTCATATTCATTGATTGGCTTTCGTAATGCTGGATCGCTAATGATATCCCACTCAGACGTACTATTTGCGCGACAATCTAATCAGTTGAATAGTGATATCAAGCCGCAGCAAAAGCGTTTAATATCTCATTGGAAAGCTCCACTCAGACGAATTCTCTTGTCAGATTCCGAACTTGATTCGTAGTTACGCTCCAACCGAATCAAATCTCATGAGATAATACTGATGAAGGGGATTGTCATGTGCTTAGGGATTAAATCTGATTTGACTTGCACTCAGCCGAAGATTGTTAGAATCAAATTGTTAGAGGTCACCAGATGACCTCTAACAATTTGAAGACTCGAGGTCAGAACTCAGGATTAAATTAAAACTCGAGTTGACACTCAGGTCATATGTTGAATAGTTATTCGTAGTTACAATCTTCGGCTGATTGCGAGTAGACTGATTTGATTCTCTCTTGATTTAATCATGAGCTTAGGGATTCGGCTCGGCTTATACTGATGAAGGGGTTGCATCCAACAAAGATATCCTCATCAGCTTCATCTATTAAGCTCGTTCTGGCGCGTGGCTGTTGTTTGGGCTTTGATGATTTGTCATGTTTCACTTTTGCCCGTTTCTCCCGGATGATGACATCCTGATCATTTTTATGACATGCGCTGCTTCATCGTAATCTGGCTTAGAACATGATGCTGAATCGCTAATGATATCCCCTAATGTCATTAGACTCATCTTGAACAGTACTTACATTCGAAACAACAACAATTGCATTACTTGAGATAGACTAATTAGGAACGTTTGAAGAACTATCTCCCGGAGTTCAAGACCTCTTACTCCGAAATTACAAATTTATCTAAACTCATTTTCCTAATAAACAAGACAAATATAATAAAATCTAATCAAATCAAAAGAGAATTTGACTTTGCACCCCATGTATTGTGTGATATTTGACTTTGCACCATATTTTCAAAATCATTAATGTATGCACCACAATTCACTATAAAATCATTTGACTTTAGAAAAATGAAAACTAATAATCCAACCTTTTAGCGGTCTTCTTATAATAGTCCCTCTCACCTTTTGATTATTCAGGAATAATCCAACCTTTTCACCTCATCTTCATGCAATGGTCCCTGACCGGTTGATGACATGTTATTCCAAGTTATTTTCTTATCTTTGCAAAACATTATATGACCATAAGGTGAGATTTATGGTATAATATATTGCAAAGATAAGAAAATAACTTTGAATAGCAGGTCATCAACCAGTGAGGGAACATTGAATGAAGATGAGGTGTAAAGGTTGGATTATTCCTCAATAATAAAAAATTGGGACTATTGTAAGAAGAGCGCTAAAAGGTTGGATTATTAGTTTGCATTTTCCCTTTGACTTTGCACCCCACTTCTCACATTTTTCGACCTGATGGGGGTGCATACATTAATGATTTTAAAAATGGGGTGCAAAGTCAAATATCACCCAAAACATGAGGTGCAAACTCAAATTCTGCCTTGAATCAATTTCTGCATCCTAATTCATATTTATTTCACTAAATTAAATGAATAAACTCTCATAAATTAGAACCCTAATTCCCAATTAGAGCGCATTCACAAATTCAAACTACCAAAGTTCAAGTAAACAAACAATCCTGAATATTCTTGATTATTAACAATTGTAATTTTTAAAATAATCCTCTATGGCAACTAAGAAGCAGGTGTCGTAATCCCGTAAATGCAGAATAAATTGGAAACAAACTTACAAATCAAAGAAACATGGACCGATTGAGCGGTGCGGGCGTGCGTTGGTGCAGCCTCAATTCAGCAAGATAACGAACTTCCGCTTTGCCGTCCGTAGATTTTGTTTTTGGAGAACTTTCGCCTTTTTCATTCTACTCTTATTTGTTTTTAGACTTTTAATAGTTTTAGTTGCCTGCACATTTGTCTACTCTTTTGCATTTTAACTTGTTTTGTTACTTTTTGTTTTCAACCCTTGATTTTTTTATAATTTTATATCTTTTATTTTAATTCAGTTAAAATTTAAATATTTTGTATTAATTTTTTATATACTTCCTCCGTTCCATAAAAGTTACAACATTGAAATTTCTGCACTATTCACACACCTTACTTTGTCTACGATTTTGGGTAATTTCCCTTAACTCTATGAAGTTAAAAAAGGAAAAAAATAAAAGTGAAACGACAGGCATTTATTCAATAAACGACATTCCATTTTCTGGATATTAAATTACGGAGTAATTGAATTAAACATTATTACGTCCTTACAAAATTACTCGTACAACCTTACTCCTTAGGTTATTTTGACCGTTCAATTCACGGAGTCACGGACCATCTCTGGAAGCCGGAAAATAGAAGATATGGGTGCTCGCTGCTGCGCATTTTGGTGAAGAGTTGAAGACTGAAGTCGTTTGTGAGAAGGTAATGTTATCTTTTCTTCTTTTATTTAATATATTTTAATATTTGTATGTGTGAATTGTAATGTTTTGTTGAAGTGTGTGTCCTTTGTTCATTTATTTTATTAGACAGTTTACTGGACCTCTGAATTCGTTCTTTATTTCTTTTAGTGTGTATTTGTTAAGGAAATAATCTTATTAATTTAATAGTGAATTTATTGATTAAATATGAACCAAGGCTTATTATTATATGAATTTGTTGTATAATTTGTTAGGTTAATTATGTTAAAATTTCTAATAACGAGTGAAGTCATCAAAAACCTCTATCGAAAAAAATAAAAGGTCAAAATTAGCTCTTGTTGAATTCAATTCTGATCGATAAGGTGGTTGCTGATTAAGGTTTACATAAATCTATTTGTGATTTTGATTCTTTGAGTAGAGATCACGTCCGTTTCGAGTACTAAAGATTTTTTTTGATTGGATTGAAATTTTCTGGTCTAGTTCAGGTCGGGTCTGAACTGAAAATATTCCAAGTAAAAACATCCTAATTATTAATCAAATAGGGCTTTTTGAGTAGTTTTGATGCTTCATCGGAGTATGTTTCTCAGCACCCCTTCAAAAAAGTTCTTATTCCGCCACTGTTCATGGGGAAAATAAACATGATAGGACTAATGTAATACTCCGTACTAAGTAACACTGAGCAACAGTTTATATGTGTATATGTTCCAAAAAATATGCTTATTATGGGTAGTATATTTTATTGAAAACTAGTACAGAGTATAATAGTATATAATAGCTAATACACATTTTCATAAATGAATATCTAAACTTATACATGGTAGCAATTTAGTTTAATTTTATACCAATTTCATTGTTTTCAAGCTTGTTTAGAAGCTTTAGATATTCTATTTTGATTTGTTCATTATTCTTGAAGGTCAAGGATCACTATCTAAATGAGTTTTGCTAATGGTAATCAATCATCACCATGCAGGTAGGTGGATATTCTTATTTACTGGTATACAATAGAGTTTGGCATGCTTAACTGGAACAAATGATTAAATCCCATTCGATCATTTTGATGGGTTGTTTTTATTGTTTTGACGGGTTTAAAAGATGATAACATTTTAATGCAAGCTTATGTATATAATGAATATTGCATTTTTTGTCATCGATAAAGAATTTTGAAGTTTAACCATTTTAAGTCTGGAAATTTTGTGGTGTTTTTTACTAAATTATTCAATACTTTACTTATGAAGTTTGTATTAATGTTGGGATTTAACCATTTCTATGCTTTATTGATGCTTGTGTGCATGCTTAAATTCATTTTGCAAATAATGGTTTTAGTTAATTGTGTTACAAACGGAAACTCATATTCTCGGAATGTGTTTGTAATATCTCAGTGCAGTTGTCTATTAAGGCTTTCAGCCGTTCATTAGTATTTAGTGCTGAAATGTTTAATCGGTTATGCAGTTATCGGTTGGTTATTTAATTGACTGACTGAATGCTCAGTAGTGCAATACCTAAAAGTGTAACAATTTATTACTCTCATGTAGATATGACCCATGCAGTCTTTTGTCTAGGAATATATATGGCTGCTTCTAGCCTCAATAGAAGATAGATCTACAACTTCATTCACTCGTTGAAACCATAGACAAAACAAAAAGTCACGCTTGGCAGCGGGAATGATAGCATCAACGGTGAAGAAGCCATTGTTGGGACTCACTGTCCTAGCTTTCTCCATCTTCATAGCCATCATTTTGTTTCCTCCTTTAAATCCCTTTTCTGACACCCTATTTTCTCCCAATTCTTTGCTGTAAGTTTTCAACGCATCCCATTCATAATTATTTATATATTTAGCTCCCCCATTGTTTTCTCCTCTTCGATTTGCTATAAATAGATCCACTTTATCTTTGCTGAATTTTCGTCTACCGATTTTTTTTCTGGTAAGTCAGACACGAAAGGCCAGAAATATGGAGTGCCCGAAGGCTCGTGGGATGGCGGCCTTGCAATTGGTGGATTCAACAGAACTTTAATGGTCAGTTAATCAGTTTATGCTTTTTTTCAAGATTTTACTGAAGCTCCACTGTGTTCATTTCGTAAAATATGCAGCGGTTCTTTATAAATCTGAAAAAAGAAATAAAGCAATGTAAAGTTCGAAAATAAGCGTATTGTTTCCCCCCCTCAAAATAGGATTTAATAATTACTGCCTCCATATCTTGACATTACCCGGCATTAGCAATGTTAATGACATTAATTACTCTCATTTTTTGAATTTCTATAAACGAAAAGTTTAACATACCCTTTTGAATAAATATTTTACATGGGGATTTTATGTTCTTCAAAAGTTATAGACTTTCACTGGCTTCCAATGCAAAATTTGCATATGGTTTTTGTCTTTGTAGCTCTCCCAGATGAGACCAATGGTTATATCAGAGTGGATTGTTATGGTGGGCTCAATCAGATGAGGCGTGATGTGAGTTCTCTATTACTTGAATGCTCCTTAATGTGTAATTTACTAATTCTCTTTCTTTATCTTTGTAGGAGCTGTAGTGGGTGGGTTATTGCGGGTACCGGACCTGCTTGAGTCCTAATGAGTAGGATTTTGGTAGTTAGTATTAGTAGAACTCAGGACTTCATGTTGTACTGTAATGCTCTAATACCCAATTTGAGAACTAAATATACATTTCATTGTTCCCTCTACACCTAAATAAATCGCTCTCTTTGCTTTTTAGCCCGTTGCAAAAGTATCACTCAATTTCTTTTTCAAACATAATAAATGTACTTCCTGTTTCTCCCTCTAAATAAATTTCAGCCACACAGTTTTTTTCATTTTTTGACTTTTGTGCTCTACTACTCGGTCAAAATTGGGAGGTTAATTAGAGACGGAGGGAGTAATAAATACAATCTTTAATAGTATTGTAGTCCATAATGATATTAGTATAAAGAAATTATGGGAAAATCGTACTTTCAGTCCCATAAATAGCACCCATATTGAAACGTAGGCCCTGTGATAAAATTGTGGTTAATATGGTCCTATAAGGGGTGACATTTACAATCTGGACGAGGACCACATTTACATGCATCCGGCAATTTAGGGGTGACATTTACACACTTCAGAACACATGAACTAGATTTCAATATCGACACTATTTGAGTTATGTATAAATAAACACACACATATATCAATGCCTTTGTCTTCGAAATGAGTTATGGGTTTGTTCGGGTACCCGCTGGGACTGTTAAATGGGGTTTGTGTGAAAATTAGATGGGATTGGGATGTATTGATGTAGTATAGCAAGTTGGGTTCCGGAATGGTTTTTGACAAATGGGCGGGTATCCAACCCACTACCATCACTATAAGCAGGTTTCGGATTTGAAATGAATCATGCTTTGCTATACAGTTATGTGATGGAGTTGGCGTAGCTCGTTTACTTAATGCAACTCTTGTTCTGCCCAAGTTTGAAGTCGCTGCATACTGGAATGAATCAAGGTAATTCAGCGCTGAAGGTTGTTTTTTGAACAATATGTTAATGTGTGATTCTAATTGAAGTGGTACCTTTGTAGTTTACTTAAAATATAGTTACATTACTCCCTCTATTTCAAAATGTTCTTCCTACTTTCCACTGTTTCAAAAATGTCTTCCAATTTCATTCTAAGGATAAAACTATGCAGATCATTATTATTCTACTATTCTAATTAAGTCACATTCAGACAATTCCACTATCTAAAAGATTATATAAAAAATAGAGCGTACGGATGGATTGTGACAAAGGGAGTATTAGTATATATGCCTCATTTAGATTGATTAGAGCCTTCATGATTCCCGTGATTTCAGCAATGGTGTATTTTCAGGAATCGCCTAGTTATTGCAGAGTAGCTCTTTCAATCCCAAACATGGGTATCACATCCTCACATTTTCACGAACTCTATTACTTCCAGAAATAAAAATCATTCCAAATGAGACCATAAATCCTAGTTTGCACATGCATTGGTATGATAATGATGAAAATGGACTCTTCTTTGAATTCAATTTCTTCATTTTTCTAACTAGAAGCAGATGCAAAGCATGACATGACCCATTAATTGTGCGTGTAATCCATTATTTGATAATAACCAAACCAGGAAAATCCTTGGGCTATGTATGGAACTTTAAATATTGTATTTACCTTGAAAAATTCTAAAGGAATATCAAATTTGACCAATCCTTTTTTATTTTTTCAATAAATATTTACTTTTTTAGTATTAACATGACAGATTGTACGAAAACAGTTAAAATTGGTCATTTGACTTGATCCTTAAGATTTGTTAGTTGTAATAGTTCTGATTAGATGAGATATGCCTACTCTGATAAGGGTTTTTCATTTTTCACACAGTGAATTTTCAGATATATTTGATATCGATTATTTCATCAAACAATTGAACGGATTTGTTAAAGTGGTAAAAGATCTTCCTACAGAGATTGCTTCAAAGGAACCTTTCGAAGTTGATTGCAGAAAACGGAAAGGCCTATTTGACTACGTTGAAAGTGTTCTTCCTTCTCTTTTGGAGCATCGCTATATTGCTATCACACCTGCAATGAGTCAAAGGAGGGATAGGTATCAGTTCCTTTCATAATTGAGATAAGATCTTCTGTGCTCTGTTGCTATTACTCCCTATTTGCGTCCCCGTGTGAATCGTAGTTATGGGTGTGTTGGTGTGGTCGATTTGAGGCAGTCTTGTCTATCACGAAAAGATGCCCTATTTGTGATTTTCTTCCCTGAATAAGTTCGAGGTTTTTAAATTTTTACAGCATTAACACTGTTTTGGATTTTCCATAGGAGAGGAAAACAAGAGGGAAATTGGATTTATTTTCCCTTCTTATGATCACTTCTTGTGTTAGGGTACAGGAAATTTATTAATTTTATTTGAGTTATATATTTAGGAAGAAAGTACATTTAACAAGCTATTAGTTTACGATTTTGATCGTTATAACACAAACTATGACACAACAAATTTTAAAATTTAAGTAGGATTAAAAGGTAAATTTTATATTAACTGTTGACTTTTCCTTCCACTTGGGAGTGAAAGAAGATGATGGAAATTAAAGGTTGTTTTCATTCTTTCAAAATGCAATGCAATTGATTAGTCCGTTGATACCCTTATTCATCTAACTTAAATGACCATTGTCTTTAGCTTTGCTATAGATTGAGTTTCCTCCAGTCTCTTTCTTAATTAGTGTGCATAGGGGGAGGAAAACACAGGGGAGTAATTGTGGAAATTTGTTTTATGTACTTCTCCTTTCACCATCACCACCACCATTATGATTATTATTTATCTTTATTATCTTATAAAAACAATCAACCTCTCATCTTTTTTAGGTATCCTCTCCATGCAAAAGCTGCATTTTGTCAAGGTTGTTACAACGCCTTACGTCTCGTAGGCTCACTTGAGAAGAAAGCTTCTGATCTTCTACAAACCATCCCAAAACCCTTCTTGTCCCTCCACCTCCGGTTTGAACCAGACATGGTGGCTTACAGCCAATGTGACTATCCGAACCTCTCCCGCTCTTCCACAAAAGCTATAGAGGCTGCCCGAAGTGACAGAAAGCCATGGACAGGAGAATCTGCCCGGATTTGGAGAAACCGGGGGAAGTGTCCCCTCACTCCAAATGAAACCGCAGTTATCCTTAAATCCCTTTCTATCCCCAGAAACACAACCATCTATTTGGCGGCAGGCGATGGTTTGATGGAGATTGAAGGGCTTAAATCGGTCTACACGAACGTGGTGACCAAATCAGCTCTTATCAGCAGTGAAGACTTAACAAAGATGCATGGGAACACGAAAGCCGCACTCGATTATTATGTGTCGATTAACAGTGATGCTTATGTGGCTACTTATTTTGGGAACATGGATAAGATGGTGGCGGCGATGAGGGCATTCAAGGGGTTGGATAGGACATTGTTCTTGAACAGGAGGGATTTTTCTATGTTTGTTTCTCAGGGCCTTGTGGGGAAGGAGTTGGAAGATGTCATTTGGAAGGTTCACAGGGATGATTATGTGATGGGGAAGGGATCTGCATTGCCAGACTGCTTCTGTGAAGAAAAACTTTAAACTATACCCTAAATTTCACTTTTATTTGTTATTTAATCGATTTTGTTTCCAATGAGCATCTTGCTCATTTTCCTTTTAGGCCCAATAGTGTATTTAGTTGACTATTGAAGTTTCTGCAGAAAAGTTGCTAAAGGCAAAAAGATTAAAACATAGAGAGATCATCCAAGTAAAGTGCCAAAAAACAGTGCCACAAACTACTCATGGTTCAGACAAAGCACTACATAAAACACTGAAGCAAAGGCAGTGACCAGATTCCACTAGGGCTAGAGTTCTGGACTCCAGCCGGTCCCTATCATTGTTTAGAGAAGCCCAGGCCTGACCTGGTTATATCCGGGTCTGGGCCGGTTCCAGATACCGGGCGGTCTGGTCCTGGTTCTTGACCCGGTCTTGTTCTATTCATTTTTAATTTTTGCCTGTTTCCAAGAGTAAAAATAATTGGCTATCAGACAAAACCGGGACCAGAACCGCTTGGTTCGGTCTCCAAATATGTGAACCGTGACTAGGTGCCCCTCTTGGCAGACATAGTTGGTTCTTGACTTGAAACAGGAAAACACCTGGTTCAGTCCCAAACCGTAATGGACTGGGTCCACCCTAGATTCCACCTCATTTGTAATGGGTCACCTATCTTACACCTAATCCATTTACATTTTAGAGATCAAAGTTGCCACCAACAATCACAATTCACAACTACTCACTAATCAGATGTAGGCAGTTACATTTAAGAGTAATTAAAATACACCGACTTTGATCAGTGTAAAAGTAATGTTAGTGATATAAACACATATTTTGTTAGAACTTAGAACTGCATGTTTTTTATATCAATTGTAAAACTCAAGTGTTGCTTATCAAAGAGGAGCATATGGATCAGAGTAGATAACTGAAAATCCTTGAAAATCCTTACATTTGAATAATTTTTACTAAAAATACGGAGTAAATATTTTGAAATTCTACTTTGAGACAACATTCACCAACAAAAGCTTCAATAGGTTATGTTTAGGGGTGGAATCAGGTCCGGGCCGGGTCCGGGTCGGTCCTAGGCCCGGGCGGACCGGCGGTTCAGGAATGGTGGACCCGGGACCGGCCCGGGTAGCCACCGGGTCTGGTCCGGCCGTCCCGGGTAGCCACCGGGTCCGGTCCGGCCGTCCGGGCCTCCGGTTTGGATTTTTTTTTTGCTTTCCTAACCCCCCCCCCCCCCCTCACCCCCCACCCTCCCAAACCCATCCTACCCATCAAGCCCAACCCGGGTGGAACCCCAAAAATGAAAAAAAAAAAAAAAAAACTATTTTAACAATTTTGTATCAATAAATGCTACAATAAAATGATAAATTGCTACACGACATTTTTAGCACCCATGATAATATTTTGCACATCTACAAAAATTTTATTTTGGGTTATTATAGAGAGGAACTCAGGTACGATCTTTTTTTTGGTTGTACTTTCTCTTTTGTCATAGTATTTGTTTTGTTAAATGTCAACATCCTTGACTGAGATGAATTTCGAACGCGTGATTTCCTCTTTGGAAGTGTCACAGTAATGTCATTGAATCACAAGATGCTTGATAGATAGGATCTTCTAATATAAATGTTACAAATAAGTAATTGTCAGAAAAATTGAATTTATGTAGTCGCACGTTTTTTTATGTAAAATGTTATCGAGTATTAGATATACGATCATTATCAATTATCTTCCACAGTAGTCTCAAGCATTCGCAACACTACATAGTACATTTTTGCGGTTAAGGGAGGGCCATACAAAGCCAATTAATGGAATGGAAAAGTGAATACTAAAAGTCTAAAATCCTCAAAAAAACCGGGTAATTAACTAATTATATAACCCTCAAACCAACCATAAACAAAAAGCGCCTGTGGCCTAATGGATAAGGCGTCTGACTTCTAATCAGACGATTGTGGGTTCGAATCCCACCAGGCGTGTGTTTTGAAAAACAACTTTTTTCCGGCTGGTTTTTCAAACAAATTTGTTTTTCTATTTGTTATTTTTTCTTGAGAAAATTATGAGGTACGAGTGAAAGTAAAAGTGAAAAACAACTCTCCTTTCTCCATGTATGAACTAGTAAAAACTTGTATGTGAACATGTATGAGTTTTTCTGTTTGTTATTTTTTACATGTATGAACATGTAAAAGTTTTTTCGACTCTTAGTTCGGCAAGTCTATTCTTCTTGGTCTAGGACATTGGAATTTCATGTATCATTTTTAAATATAAAACACGTTTAAAATGAAAAATAAGGCAGATCCATTTAAAAATGAAAAAAACTCCTGCTTCTCATATACGAAGTACAATGTATATTTTCCGTATTTTACATAAAAACATAAACATGAATTAATCATTTGAACGAATACATTAAATGTATACGAGATCAACAATACTTTAAAAGCAAAAAGGAACCCTCCTCCTCCTCCTCATGACTCTGTGTTTTTGTATTGTTACAATACAAAATAGACAATTATCAAATAATAAAACTAACTGCATGACATGTAAAGTTAGCATCCTAAAAGACTATAACTAAATATTACTACTTTACTAGATTTCTGAGGGGTTTTCACACAAGTATATCAAAATTAATAATTTTCTAAACCTGATATTTTTTTAGTATAAACTTTTACACATAAATAATAACCGTAGCAACCGCACAACTTTCTCATATGCCATCCATCATTATGATGAAAATGATGAATTTAACTTGAATGTTATTTGATGATCTATAAAGATGATGATATTAACTTAGTCTCATTCTATCGCTATTATGCCTTATTTTTGACAATATTCTGCAAAATTATGTATTGGACGTAACTCCTATTTCTATTTTTGTCATTGACTTATGCAATTACGAATTACAGAGTATTCTTTTATCTCATAATGAAATTTGATACTTGAATATGTAGGTGTATACTTTTATTTCATTTTACTATATGTTGTATTGTGATTTGTAAAATATTACATGTTCAAAATAAGACCCCATCTTTTTGTCCGATTCTTTGTAACAAATACCGTATTATACACCTATACATATTTATACGTTGTTTATAAGTCATCGTTATTTCAACGATTTTTCGATCGTTTTTTTCATTCATATTAACGAATAAAACACATATGTATTACTAAACTTCATTTAATTCCCGTACAGTATATAACTAAATGGGTTATGCATAAGTTTTTTATGGTTTGGAGTCGGTCAGTTAGAGGAGATCGACAGAAATTGACCCCAATAGATTTTTCTAGCGCGCGCACACACACAAACACACATACAAATACAAGTCTTATTGAAGTTTGAAGTGTATTCTCTTATACATTTGGTTCAAAGTGGTAGGTGTTCGAGAGAAACATGAAGAGGACATATATGTACACATATGAGGAGAGAAATGTTGAGAAAAAGAATTCTTGAAATAAATCTTCTAGATCTCCCCTCATTATCCAGATAGTACACCTTTTGTTTGTGATGAGTTGGGACCTTTTGAGATTGAATCTGACTAGTCACCTACCCGTGCATTGCACGAATGAATTTGTCTATAAAATTCATTGGATGATGAATGTGTATACATTTATAAGTTTAATTTTGAACACATGATATAGGGTTGTGTTAAAAAAGCACATCTACAACTGTCAAAAGATACTCCATTTATTAAAAAAATTTAAATGAGCATGATTTAATAATATAAAATTGCCTCCGTTTATCCTCTCTCTTAGGGTTTTGTGTTCTTCCGCCGTTCCTTCGGCGGCGAGTTTTTTGGCCTCTCTTGGCCATGATCTTTTATTGTTTTGGTAATCGATTCAAGTGACTTGAGAGGGTGTTGATCGATCATTTCCAGCTTTTGTGCTCAGACGGGAGGTTTCGGCGACAACAAGAGATCACAGACGAATGGGGCTGGCCGGAGATAGGAGACATCCAGGATGGTCTATTTCTGCAAGGCCTCAATCTGTCGGGTGTGGCGGTGGTGAATCCAGCCGTGCAGTGCTGGTGGAGGAGGTCAATGATAAACAGGGAGGCGACTTGGCTATACGGCTCCTGGGGCTGATTAACAAAAACGACGAAGTTTTGATGGTCCGCCCGTGACACTCCAAAAAATTAAATAAAAAAGAAAAATAATTTTTATTAGTCAGATAAAATGTTACGGAAATGACATTTTAATTATTAAGTGAGTCAAACAAAAATTCAACAGTTGTGACATTCTAATCAGATAAAATTTCAAAATGTACGACGTTTTAGTCAGATAAAAATATTTTAATAGAAACAACATTTTATAAATAAGTAAACCAGACACAAATTTATTATTTGTGACATGTTTAATCTGATAAAAATGATCTGATAATAGAAGTAACATTGTTATAAAAGTGACGTTGTTTTTAACAGGTATAGTTATTCATTTGACGGAAATATTAGATGTGACATTTGAACCAATTTTAATATATATATATATATATATATATATATATATATATATATATATATATATATATATATATATATATATATATATATATATATATATATATATATATATGCAAAAACCCAACCCAGCGTTATACTAGATACCGAGCTTCGAAAATACTCTAAAAATCTCCCCCTTCGCAAGAGGAATCCAACGGTGAAAGAATCGTTGAAAACGATCGTCAAACGAGATAGTTATCACTCGCCGGAGTATCGCTGATTTGAGTTTTCACGTCGAAGAACGGAGGAAAAAGGAGAGCTGCGGAAGCCGCCAGTCCATCCATGTCCATCACTGACCCATAAGGATTCCGCTACCACCTTCGTTGACCGCACCCGTCGAGGTAAGCCCCTCCCTGCGTTTAGCTTCGTTTCCGGCGTTCACATGCGAAGAAGATGACCCGGCCAAAAGGCAGGGGTCTGTTTTGCTATGCCGTTCCTTTGATGAGTAGGCCGCTGATTTAGTATTCTTTGGGCTGGTTATTGTTATTATAACTTGGACTGGTAGCGTAATAACCGACCGACTGGACTACGAGCGAACTTCCAACTCTGGACTGAACTAGAATCATACTATTGTTAATAGTAATAATAACCATATCGGAGATGCTAAAAGATGGAAGTTGGGTTGGTTAGAGTTATTTTATTTACTTGGAAAAATTTGTCACTTTTAATTGGGATATAGTTATACACTTATACATAATGTGAAATAACCAAATTAATGGATTCATTTAGTCAATGATAACGGATGATCTTGATTACTTTATTTGGATCAAAATAAAGTGGAAACTAATAAAAGTGATTGATTAATAATTAAGGGATAATTTTAAATAATTAGTCATATTAATAAAATTCGGATAACAGAATAAGGAGGGAATCAGATAAATTATTAAAAATAGAATAAGTGACTAATGATATCATCTTAATTAAAAAGGTGCTCATTTAGAGACCGGAATTGAGGAAGAGAATTAGAAGCATCGAGACTTAAGGTAAGTTTCACGTCAACCGATATTAATTCTTTTTCTTCGTGATTTCTTTGAATATTGTTGTGTGTATGTTTGAGAATTGAATTTATGTGTGCTGAATTTTTATTAAATATTAATATATGACAAGGTTGTATTATTTGAGATATTAGTTGATATATTGGTTTGTTAATATGAGTTATTATATACGATTTTGGGAGATTTTGTAATAGTACGTAATTTGTTATTGTTGTGGGAGTTTGATGCAAAGGGAATTTTTGAAGTATAAACTTCGATTGATTTTGAGAAAAATAAATATTTTCATAAAAGGTGAGCATCACGGGAGAAATCCGTGGTGTTGGTTTTCCACATCCCTTAAAATGTGGAGTGTGGTTATGTCTACTACTACTCAATTTTTTGTTGGTTTTGGTTTGAGGTGAATTGACAGTCGGTAGAAAACATCGCGGCTTTTGAGTAGTAGTGGTAGTAGTAGCTCCTAATCATTCAGTTTTTGAGGTGGGGTAGTTGGTAGAAAACATCTCGGCCACCCGGATTGACTTACTAACCCGGAGGGCTTGGAATACCTTTAGGGGGTGTGCACACTTAAAGTAGTTGTTTCCGTTTCCAAGGAGCAGTTGTGGTATCGGCGATAGTTCTGGGGTGGCCGTACATAACAACGGATCACCGGGCTTAACCAGAGTGTTGAGCACCGCCCTTCTAAATTACTAGGAAGTTAGTTACAAAGTGATTTTTGGAGAAATTCAATAGAGGAGAAATTTTGGTGTTTCATGTATTTTGGAATTATTATGGTTCACGAGTTATATGATTGAGATTTTGTAAAGATATCGTTTACTGATGATTTATAAAGTGTTTTGAAAATATTTTTATACTAATGGTTGTACGAATTTATATATATACTATTGTTATTATTTTAAAAGGTTAGGTGAGACTTACTTAGCATTATTGCTAATGTTTGTTTCTTTTATTTTTCTTTCTGTACATGATTTTGTACAGGTGTTGAGTTGCTCGATGTTGAAGTTGATTTCGAGAGAGAGCTTTCGCTAGAAAACATTATTAGCAAATCATTGTAAATTTCTTTTTCAATAACTTTAATCAGTGAACTTTTGATTTTGAAGTTTAAGTTGTTTTAGCATGTGCACTCGGTTAAGAGAGAACCGAGTGTAGCGGTAGCACCCCTATTTCCCTTTAAATTTTCCGGGTACATTTTCTGATGTTTTCAAATAAAGTTAGTAATACTTTCCCATAAATCATTATTTAAATGTATTTTTGGGTGGGAAATTTGGAGGTGTTACAAGTTGGTATCAGAGCTGAAGGTTTTTCTGGGGGGAGTTTTCAAAGCATTTTTTTCAAAAGGTTTTTCTAAATAAATTTTTCAAATGTTTTCTTAAGGTCTTAAATTTCCTTTAAATAATACCAACAAGTTGGTATTAATACCCGTATTAATAAAACGTTAGGAATCCTTTATGCTTCGAGGACGAAGCATTCTTTAAGGGGTGTAGAATGTGACACCCTAAAAATTTAAAATAGAAATATAATAATGAAATAAAATGCAGTAAACTAAATGAGATACAATCAAGGGGATAAACAAAAAATATTAATGATGACATGGTCAATATCCAACGTCAAATGCTACATAAAATAATACGGAGTAATAACAACATTATTTAAACCAAAAAGAGTTTAGATTTAAGTACACCACTATAATCCAAAATGGGAAAAAAATGTACATTGAACTATTACGTCGTCTTAACCTAACTAATAAAGGACACATATTTTTATTAAATGCTACACCCTCTTGGGACTTTGCTTTCTCCACCTGTACATTGCGCTACTATTGTTATACCTTGATTATTAAGCAGATAAAGACGTTAACCGATCGCTTACTTGCTTCACGCCGTCTAACTCTGCCGGTTCAAACCAAATGGACTCCTTCAGACTGCTTCTTTTTCCCAATTCCGTTTCTGAAGGTAAACGGCCGTACTCTTCCACCGATCGTTCCAGAAGTTGGAGCATCAATGGGGATTTCATTAAATTCCTATTCAATGATGAAATTTGATCAGTTTCAGATGATTTCCTCCTATGCTTCTATAAATGGGGGTTTCCTTAGGCTTATCATCTTTTCCAAGAGTCCTGATCACTACTTTGGTGAGTTTATATTCTTCCCTCCCGTAGTTGATGTTTATTGATTCGTTTAATTTGTTGCAGTTTTAGAACGTATTCTCTATGTTTGTAGACGACATTTGTCGAACTAACTCCAGTGTATTTGGCAGCATCGTACTTTGCATCTCTTTCCGTGCGTTTGTTTTGTTTCAATTTATGCTTGTATTGGGTTTGTTTCCTACTTTTCTGTTTTATCTTCTATTTCTGCCTGCGCACAGCACATAGCTTAGAACTTCATATACAAATCATTTTTGACTATGCCACTAATTTTCCTTTCAATCAATCAGTACTTGCGGAAATTTATAGTTTGTTTACTCTTGTGACTTTGCCATGACAGCTACATACCAGTAGAACATGCAAAGAAATGGAGGACAAGTATAAAACTCCTATGTGCAATTTGATTATGTTTGGCTTAGTGGTCAACATTCATATATAACAATGCTAACAAAATTCATAAGACCCCTGAGACCAATATAAAAAAAATTGTATTTAGGATTTTAGAGTAACATGTCAGGAGATGGCTCACCTCTAAAGGATTCATTAATTCCAAAGGCTTCTCCCAGCTAGACTGTTTTGTCATCTTTTTTGTGGTCATAAAGCCACTAAACTAGAGTTCTGTCATGCACACACATCTAGAATAAGTGGGTCAGCTACATAGCCCCTCTCTTTTCTACCACTCACCATAGGTTCAGAGAATTCCCTCGTCCTAATATTTTTACATCCTGAAATCATGTCATTTCCGCTCCAGAATTTCAAGTTTGCTCTGTCAAATGTACCCACTGTAATGCAAAAAAATGGTATTGGTTTTCAAGCTAACTGAACCTATTCTTCCTGCATAGTATAAAATTAATTGGAGGCAATAAGCATTCAGATTTTGCTAAATTACATTTTGATTTAGATCCCGACATGCACTGTTCTCCTTTTACTATTAACCTTTTCACAACAACTTATCATTTTGTCTTTTGTCTTAATGAATGCAGCACTTTTGCTTAGAATTGGAGGGAAGCGACTTGTTTCTTTCAAATCGGCTTTAGAAACGTATCTGTTGAGGTGAACATTTACATTCCCACTTCGCTTTTCTTCATTTGTCTATAGAATATTACTTGCATGAATCTATGTTAATAGAGTCCGTGAACTTTTACTCCATAATTGTCTGTGTATCTATCTATACTCACTTAAAAAGTAAGCCTTGTTATATCATAGATAAAAACGAAACTTCAACTTTTTCTCGACATTTGTCTGTGAATCTACCTGCGTTTTCCCTGCGTTTACTATTATTTATTCCTTTCCTTTTCAAAACCTCTCCGTCAGTTGCTATTTAAAGGAAACTAAAAACATACTGCATTTGCTAAAGGATTTTTTTCCTGCATTTTCACTTTTGCTACATTTTCCTCTGAAATCTCCCTGCATATTTCATATGTATTAAGACTTGGAGTGTGACTACACATGCCTATGAGTCCTGCATTTTTTATGTGTTTTCACTACACTTTATGCCACGTTATTTCTGCGTTTATACTGCACTTTTGGTGTTTTATTGCTGCGTTTTAAATTTGGAAATCACCTGGTTCAATCTTTGTTTTCTGAAAATGCACTATATAGTACACCAAACGTAACCCACCTAGAAAAAGTTAATTATTTGTTCCTGGGGGGCAGTAAGCAGCCTCATTGATATCAACCATTGGCGAAAGAACTAGGCATTGGAGTTGTAAAGTCCAAGTGGTTGCGAAGTATCAAACTCGAGAATCAAGAAATAGACCTGGAAATACATACAAGGCAATAGTGCTGCAAGATGAAGCTGTAAGACATAACTACTTAACATTCGTTGATAACTATTAACTTTTCTCTTTTACGTATTGTTTATGTGTTGGTATTACTTTAGCTATAACTTTAATGATGCCATCTCATATACAAAACAAATTTATTCTCATGAATTGTTTCTTATATGAATGTTGTTTAGCTACATCAACACGTGATAAAAAATACAATGAACATTTGTTTGTTTTATGAACCCGTGTAAGCTTGTTTTTCTTACAACTTCTTTGTTATTTACTACAGGAAACATGTTTCATTCAAAGATAAAATGCTATAAAAGTAAAACATATATACCATTCTTACTACACATCACATGTCTATAACACCCTGATTGAGATGAAGTTATAACTATAAGAAGCTTAACTTTTAATCATATAAATGGAGTACACTCTTCTTAATTTTGTAAGACTAATTTCTTAATTTGGTAACACAAGCGTGGTACCACTGACACGTAACATGGACGACACGTCCACGCACTACAAGGGAATGACCAAGGCCGAAACACACGCCTATAAAACCCTAACCGCATCGGTTGGGTGACACGCGAGAGGTGACCTTCATCGGCCACAGTCCTTTGAAGCACCAACGCGTGGTATGAAGCAAATAATCACAATCCTGATGATGACCAGGACGAAGCGGGCACTCATCACACCCGCGGAAGAATCAAGCAACCAAGAAACAACCCTTACTTGCCACAGCATCCCGGATAGCCGTTACAGGCACTGGAGCCCAGGCCGTTGGTCAAGCAAAAGCCCTTTAGGAATTTGTTCAAGTGTCTACCAAACACTTAGAGAAAACTCTGAAGGAAAAGTTCCTCAAGAAGGAACTATGCCTTAGCCGACGAAGGTAGGACCTTCTCTTGGGGAAAGCAGGGTGCACCCTCATCGGCCACAAAGCCAGACCTTGGCCGATGATGATAGGGCCACCTCCTAGCCGGCAGCGGTACCACAAAGACGGAACTACGTCTTACATTTATACTTAGAAAATTCCCTAAGTACTTAGATGGAGGAACTCCAGACACAGCGGGCACCCGCATGCTCCAAAGCCGTTAGCTACCTAAGTCTTGCACTTGTATTTAGAGGAATTTCTATGTTCAAGGAACAAAGTTCAAACTACCCAAGGCAAGGAACGAGGACATGCGAGGCCGAAGGGGACAGCAACCTGTGTGCCCTTACCGGCCACAACACATGGACCCAAGCCAACCCCCCTGGTCAGATCAGGAACAAGGGAACACAACGGCCACAAAGGACACTGGGCCGACAACGTCAACATCGGTTCAACACTTAGGAAAAATCTTAAATCGCATGCTAACAGTGCAAAGGGGGTGCCACATCAAGACGATGAGAACACCCACCCACTCGAGGTTCGGATACTTGGTAGAATTTCCTAAGTCCTAACTCCACAGCACTTAGACATAACAGTAAACGAGACGACGATGCAGACAACAAGTACTACGAAAACATTTTCATTCAACATAAATGAGTACAAGGAGGGCTTCTAGGCCGTTACATTGCTGAAAGAAAGATAAAACTACAAAGGATCAGACCTCCGGAGGGGCTTCAGAGTCCTTCTCGGCCTCAGCTCCCCCCTCGGCCGGGACAACAGACGTACCGGCAGGGGCAGCCGACGTGGCAGTATCTTCAAACATGCTCCGCTCATACGCCCAGTCATCGCTGATACGTGAGCTCTCAATAGGGAGCTGCCGCTCGGCCACCGGAAGCTCCAACTCTGCCTCAGGATGCTTCATTAATGGAGGCAGCTCGAGGCCGACGGCCCACTCCTTGGACACACCGATATCCATGAAACGCCGTTGCAGCCTCCTATACAACAACCGTTGCATCCGCTATTGGCCAAGGTCATAGAAGACCTTCATCTCCTTCTCCCAATAGGCCTGGCCGTCGGGGGATTGGTTCACCCAGTCAACGAGTCTGACCGCCACGACCTCAAAACAGAATGGAAGCCGGCCCTCGTCCTTCCAACCGACTTCAATAAACTTCTGCACAGCGGCATCAGCGGCTTTCTCCTCGGCAACGATGAGAGCCAACTCTGCACTGGCCTTGCCTTTCTTGGCCTCCTCGGCGCGCTGAAGGGCCTCATCGCGTGCACGCTCCACGTCGGCCAAGCGCTGGAGAGCCCCCTCCTTCTCAGCGGCCAACTGGTCGGCCTCGTCAGCCCTCTTCTTAAGGCTCTCAACCTCAAGACGCAGCATCTCTAAGCTGCCCATCGCCTCATCGGATGAGGCAACCTTCTGCTCGAATTGCCTCAAACGAGCAATCTCTTTTTGTTGCCTCCTGTTGTTCTCCATCAACATGAAGGCACCCTGCAGTAAAAAATGAGTTAGACAACTTTGCAACAAAAATGGGGAAGAAAGTAAGACGAAGCGGGCACGGTTACTTACTTGGACGACGTGGTCCATCCCACCATCGTACATCTTCACGTGGCCGAGCTTCTTCAGATAAGCCCGGTCTTCATCAGGGATAGCCTGAGAAATCACCTCGTGGCCGTCAACGATTTCATTGAACAGCCCCCCTTTGACGGGGTACTCTACCTCGAGCTTGTAGGTCCCTTTGACCAGCTCTCGGCCGGACCCTTTCTTCCGGGCGGCCGTTGCGGGAACAGGAATAGTGGAAAGAGTGGTGGACGACGGGCCTGAAGGGTGGTCCACCAAAGCATCAGGGTTTGAACCCTCTCCGCCCCCAGAAGGAACAGCCGACGTCCCAGCATCGCCGGCAGAAGAAGCCCTCTTTGACTTCTTGGGAGGCTTCATTCCCACCTCCGTCAACTTCTCCTGGCCCTCTTCGGCCTGCCTCTTCTTCTTCGGCTGCACCGGCGGCTTGGCCGCAGCGGTAGCCCCAGGTTGTTGGGCCTTCAGCTCCTCGGCCGCTTTGAGTTGGGCCCTCTTCATGAATGACATGCGGTCCATCACAAAACCTGCATCACAAAAAAAACTAAGGGTTAGAAAGCAAAATACGAAAGTACGACGAGGAAGCACGTCAGAAGGGACTTACCATCGGCCTCAGCTGGCACCCCCAGATCGGGACCATCAACCTCCTCATAGGATGTGGCCATCTTCGACCACAACTCCACATCGTCGTCAAGATCACCATACACGAAATACCGTACAAAGCCGAGGGCGGCCATTTTGTACTCAGTAATATATGTCTTCACACTCCTCGGCCCTCCCTCCAGAAAAGCCTCAACCTGAGCGTCCAGAATGGAGCTCCTCGGCGCATCATGAAGATTAAAACGGCCGGTGTGGCCGACGGAGGGAAACTCTGTGCCCCCCTCGCCCAAAGACACGAACACAAACTTCCCCTTCCATCCATGGATGGACGTCGGCAGGTCTGTGAAACTCCTCTTCTTGGGAAGTTGTTGAAGGGTGGCATACGATGCACAGTTCTGATGACTCCCACGGCCCATCTGATATAAGTTCATGAACAGCGCCGTCGTCGGCCTGAAATCCAACTCGGCACACCGCAGGAGGAAGCCGACGATGAGCGAGTAGCTATTCGGCGTCAACAAGGCCGGAGGGAGCCCCACCATATCCAGGTACTCGGTGATAAAGGGATGAAGCGGGAACCTAAGCCCTTTAGCAAAACTCATCGGGTACACTCCGAAGTAGCCCGGGGGGATTGAGGACATGGTCTGTCGGCCTGGGGGCCCTAACCCTGCCGTACGGCCCCATATACATTTGGGCGACCAGGTATTCCCCCGCATTACTCTGCGGCCTGATGACATAGATGTTCGTCAAATTAAGGTGAGAAAAGGCTGGCCCTCTCTTCGGCCTCCTCACCCTCCTCGGCGGCGCAACGCCCTTCACAGCAGACACAGGTTTAGGGCAGGGGATGGCAGCCGACGTGGACGCCCCATCAGCAGTTCGGGAGACCCCTGCGCCCTCACCCCCAGACGATGAAGCTGACCCCTCGTCCGCACGGTCCTCCTCGTCCGGCTCCCCGGTCCGGAACGAGCTCAGATTCTCAATCTCCTCACAGAACTCCTCGACCAGCTCATAATCAAGGGACTGGGCAGAGGGCTCGTCGTCATAAGGATAGTACTCTTCGTTGAAGTTTTTCATCTTAAACACTATCTCGGATATACTGCATCCTACTTCAAGATCTAAGGATATTCAAGGGCCTAACACTAGATCACTAGTCTAGGAAGCAAAACATGCAAAGTACAGAGAGGATTTTGATGAACACTAACCTTGAACACGAAGAACACGAAGAACAAGCTTGAGAGTTTATCTCTCTAGAAATCCGGGTAGCACTTCGACAAACTCAGAAAGCAAATGAGTTTTCTCGTCGGAGGGGGAGGGGTATTTATAGAACCCCCACCCAACGGTCACTACACGTGGCACCCTCCCAATGGCCACATCAACGGCCACCAATGAGAGGCCACCACGTCACCAACGGGCCAAGCTACACATCAAGAGCCCACCGGCAAAACAGACTCTACGGTCTACACGCTTGCCGGCTTCACAAGTGCCAACAAGCACCCACAATGGCCTATTTACTTACCAAATTCACAGGTGCCAGCAAGCGCCCACAACGGCCAGGAACGCAATGAACGGCCACAGGACCAAAGGAACAAAAAACCCACAGCCGTCGGCTCCTCGTAACGACCCCTGATGATAACTCTTTACAAGCGATCTGCGCACAAGGGTTCTCCCACAGGGTTACCTTGGCCAGAAAATCACCATAAGTGTTGGATTCAGGGGCACTACGGAGAGGCCGCTTCGGCCTGGGACTCAAGCAACTCCTTCACCCCTCACACTCTTCGGCCTGAAGCAGTGGGGGACTGGGGGACTATACCGGCCTCAACAAAACAAAAAGGACAAATGAAACCACAAAGCATGGCCACATCGGCCAGGTACCACAAAGCATGGCCTCGTCGGCCAAAGGCACATAACGTCATCGACAACGGCCAACTGGACACCTAAGTCAAGGACACTCATCGTCCTCCACCAACAGTTAAATCATGATGGGCTCTTTGGCCAAGAACACGAAAGCCAATCAGCGACGGCCAAAAGGAGCGCAAACACCCTCATCGGCCACCCAAAGGAAAGGACGCCATCGTCCTCAAAGCAAGGTTCAACCTCAGTGACCTCATCGGCCTAAACGTAAAACTTCAACCATCGACGTCCAAGAAAGGGAAAGCATGCCTTCAACGGCCACCATTGAAGCAGGACACTTATCGTCCCCAAATGAACGCATCAAGGAAACGACGACCTCCCCGCCCACAGTGAGGAGCAGGTAACGGCCAAGGCACAGAACAGGATCACCAAGATGGAAACAGCACCAACGCCGCAACAGCAGGCGGCCTGGGAATGCCCGCGACGGCCAAAAGCACTAAATCACAGGAATCTACTCTCCTTCACTTCGTCTACGTCTCAACTTAGAGAGTGGGGGACTCCTGATGGAGTATATGGGTCTGAGCCCCCGGACCCACATACTCGGAAGAACGGAAAGCACAAGACACAGAGTGGTGCCCTCGTCGGCCAAGACGCCCCCGTCGGCCGAAAAGGTGCCGACTCAGAATATGGTCCTGAAGCCAAGGAACCCGGGTGCCCTCGTCGGCCGCGCCCTCGTCGGCCGTGCCCTCGTCGGCCACGCCCTCGTCGGCCACGAAGACTCCATAGAACCGGATTCTACACTTACCCATTTGTACAGCCCATTAGTGGCTTTGTATTCGGCCCAGTAGCGGTCCAGTTGTAAATGGGCCTCCCAAGCCCAAGGCTTGGGAGCCCAGCCCGTATTTTCTCTATAAATACTCCCCTTGGGAGTAGTTGTGGGGGTTGAGAATTCATTAATACCAAGCAAATATACTACTTCTCTCTCTAGCTCTCACTTCTCTCTAGAGATATACTCTATCAATAATAATTGTTTATGATGATGTAAATAGTAATACAACTTTTATTTGTTTATTGCCATGAAGTGTGAATGTATATGTGCTTATTGCCATGGAGTGTGAATGTATTGTGAATGTAATGACACTTTATTTGAATTGTTGATATTATGCCATAAAGATGTCAGGTTTTTCCATATTGTTTGTTGAATAGTTGGAGATAGATGCATTTAAAGAATACATAATGACAAAATGTTGGAAGAAATCCTAATAATGTGAAGCATAAGTTATGTAAATCACAAATAGAATAGTCATAGTTTTGGAAAAAATATACTCTATTGTGAATATGATGACATTTTATTTGATTTCTTAGTGTTATGGAATAATGATGTCATGTTTATCCAGATTGTGTGTTTCATAGCAGTTGACACTTTATTTGAATTGATTTTTTTTGCTAAAATAGGTGATTCAGAGATCTTTCAACGAAAATGAATTGGACAATGTTGAGAGCATGCGAATTAACTGTTATTGTAGTCTGAGTGAAGTCGTGAAGAGAATATTGAAGCAACTGAAACCAAATGAGATAGAGGAGTTCAGAAAGACAGTGTTCGGATGGGTGTTGGATGTGGAAGAAATGCGAGCTGTCAGTGGTCAACTTCAGCTTGGTTTTCTATGCAACTATGTCAAAAAGGTTAACCACATAAAAGAGACAGAAGTCATTCGCTTCCACATCCAAAACAGTCTAATTAGTTTTACAAAAATAGATTTATGCATTGCATTGGGATTGAAAATGGGAGGTGTGAAACCAACTTTAGAAGAGGAGATGAAAGGTCCTTTTTGGAGAAAATATTTTGGAAAAACAGGTGTGAAAAGAAGTGAGGTACAAAATGCATTGATGAAATATAATAGTGAAGATGAAGGAAGTGAAGAAAATGATGGTGTGAAGCTTGCTCTACTCCACGTGCTATCACATGGATTATTTGGAAACCAAGTGGCTAGGGATTTACCAAACTGTTATGTGAATCTGGTCGAAGATTTAGAGGCATTCAAAACATATCCATGGGCTGATGATGTCTGGGCAGATTTGGTGACCAACATGAAAACAAATTGCAAGAGCCTTAAGAAGTGCAAGGGGGAACGTGTGACTCTACCAAGTTGTCTAATAGCATTACAAGTATGAGCTTTTGAAACGTTTACAGGGTTGACAAAGGCAAATATATGCAAGGTCATTGAAGGAAGAGAAACAGGAATTCCAAGAGCAGTGAAGTGGGAGTTCAAAAAAAAAGCCACATATGGAAGTTTTCTGCAAGATAATCTTCAAGAACAAACAGGTAAATTCGCTTCGTTACTTATTATTTAAATAACATGTGAAGTGACAATTAATACATTTAAACTGTATTTTTGGATCTTTTACATGCAGTTTGAATGGGAAAGGATGCAGGCTACAAGATTGGAAATTAAAAAATTTCCAAATTTAAGGGCCAATAGTGGTCTTATAGTTGGAAAAAGAATTGAAGGTGTGGAGGTATTTCAAAAAAAAAAAGAAAGGGAAGGATAAGAAAGCAATGATTTCAAAGAGAACCGAGAAAAAAAGGAAAAAATGCAGATGATGTTGAGGTAGAGGATGATGATGAAGGGGTAGTGGGTTTTGGATATGAGAGGAAAGTGACTGTTGTTTGAGACAAGTCAGGAAGCTAAGCAAAGAAAATGCCAAGTTAATGGCAGAAATGAAACTAATAAAGAAAGCACAGAAGAGGAATGAGAGATTTCTTAAGCAAATATTGGACAAGTTAGACAACCAAGAGAAGGCGAAGGAGACAGTAAGTGAGGAGAGTGTAGATGAAAGCAGCGATGATGCAAATGAAAAATCAGAGAGTGGAGATGAGACAAAACATAATATTGAAGACGATGGTGCAACTACAGAAGATAATACCAAAGATGATGCTACATTTGAAGAAGATAATGTTGAAGATGATGGTACAGCTCCAGAAGATAATCATAAAGATGTTGTTGCAGCTCCAGAAGAAAATGTTGAAGATAATGCTAAAGATACTGGTGGAGCTCCAGAAGATAATGATCAGGTGGGTTGCAGTTTGCCAAACTTTAATATTTTTGGGCCAGAAACACAGGAAAAATTTAAGGAAGCAGATGACAGTGGAACAATGGAAGAAGAAGATGTAAGTGAGAAAGGAAGAAGTCATGACAAGAATGTTAAAGATGCAGTAGACGACGATGGAAGAGTGGATGAAGAAGGTGAGGGTGCAAGAGTAGAAGAAGCAAGTCGGAAAGGCAAAAATAATGAGAAGACTGATAATGATGCTTGGGGAGATGTGAACACCCAATTTGTGAATGAAATGATCACAAGTGTGGATGAAATAGAAAAACAAATGCTAGCTAAAGCGAGCACAACTGCTGACATCAATGCGAAAGCGGTAAGATTTTTGTTTTACAAACCTTAAACAAAAAGAAAATTAAATAAATGAAGAACTTTATGTTATATGAGTAGTTATGTTTATTTTTTATTTTTTTCTTGTGTTGGTTTTACTAGCAGCATATGGAAAAAGGAGTTGAAGAGAGTGAGATGAGGGAAAGCAGAACAAAGCATAAAGAAGTGGAAAAGAATGTAAGTATATTTTGGAAAAAGTTCCAAATATTTGAAACAAAATTCCAAATATTTGGAAAAAGTAAACTATAACATATTACTAAATTACAGGTGAAGACCATATGCGCACAAATGCAAAGAAAAAAGCGCAATGTAAGGACCCCAGACCGATATACACCTGGAGAAACTAAAGTTCAGGCTAAGAGAAGAAGGAAGCAAATAGCTAAGAGAGATGTAGAGGGAAGTTATTTTCCTCCAAGAGAGTATGGACCTTTTGCGGAAGACCCGACTGAGAGACCACCAGAAGAAGAAATAAAAAAGGTGGAAGAATATCTAAAAGTTGGTCTCTTGAAGAAATTGAAGAAAAAGGGATGTGATAGAAAGTACAGGATTGAAGAGGAAAACATGCACAATGTCCCGTTTCTTCTGGATATGCACAAAATAGAGTCCAAAACGTGACTGTATAAGTTGTTTGTGAATCCAGAATGGCTAGATGATACGGTAATGATTTACTTTTACTACTAAAACAGTATGTTGTAGATCTCAATGTAAAATATAGCGTTAAAATAGGTACTGTATTAGATTTATAACATTTAATTTTGGTTTTAAATTTGTTTGCAGCATATTGATGTGGCAATGTTTTACTTGAATATGAAACAAGTGCACTACAACATCAAGGGCCCCAAATACACCACGTGTGGCCCATTTTTTATGCAAGTGCTGAGGCGTGAAAATGAAGAAATTAAGAAGAGTGTGTCTTCAATCCAAAGTGCAGCAGACAATCCGGTAATTGCAGACGATATATTAGGGATTGCATATCCTTTTGATCGAAGTTGGGCACAGTCAGATTTCGTGTACATACCTCTGAATACCGGAAACCACTGGATACTGCTAGTTCTGGAAATAAAAGAAAGAAAAATAAGGATTTACAACTCCAACAGCAGAAGGGCAGATTCCTTAAGAGAAATCAGACCTTATGTGCCGAGCATTGAGTGCTTTCTTCCAAAAATAATGGACATCCATGGAGTGTATGAAGAAATTGGGCTGGAACCAATGAATGACAAAAAGATTGAGTTGCAAACTGTGGAGGACTGCCCACAACAAGATGACGGGTAAAATATGAGTTTTAGAGCTGGAGTATATCATAATTTATAATATTTCATTCAAAACTTATTTCTGGTTTTTTTAACGGTGTGTCATCATCACAGGGGGAACTGTGGCATGTACGTTTTGAAGTTCGCTGAGTTTCTTATGATGGGCATGGACATAAAGGAGGTAAGCTCGATGGACATGTGCATGTATCGGGAGAAAATGGCAACAAAGTTGGTTTTGTATAACGCAAAGAGAACAAAGGAATGTAAAATGAAGGAGGCAGCTTCGAGAAACATGACAGAAAAAGGATGAAAAATTACAAATCTAGTCTGATGATGCTTTACGGATGTTATGTTTTTAGTATTTGAATTTTATGTAATGGTGTTGAATGTTTTTGCAAACTGTTGAAGTAAACTGATGATATTGTGAAGCACAATATGCTTAAATATAAGTGGCAGAATGTAGTATACTATGTTTTTAAATGCCTAAATATTGGCATGGTTGGGAGAACATTATATATGACATTATATTTGGTTCATTATGTAGTCACATGGATATAAATTGGTTTTTTTAGTAATGAGACAAGTATTAAAATAACATCTGGAAAGGGTAACACGTACACGGCTGGATACTAATCATGTCCATAGTGGCAAACTGTTCTATAATTTGGTTGAAAATGCCAAAATGTTGGCCGTTTTGTAAGATAAATGTTTTATATTGTGAGTTGGATATACATTGGGTGTGTTATTAATGACACAAGTATTACATTAAAATCTGAAAAAGGTTAACATGCAGAACACTCGATTATAATCATAAGTCAATAGTGGCAAAAGGTCGCATATTTTGTTTGAGAATAACTAAATATTGGCAGTTTTGTGAGATAAATAGATTAGATTTATTATAATAGACATTTACATATACATTTTGGTTTTTCTATTAATGAGAGAAGTATCACACTCAGAATGAAAAAGGATAACAGCTAGACAACTGAATTAGAATCACACATCCATTTACTTTGAAATGAATGCCTGGAGTGCAAATATATGTGGCAGAATACATTGTACAACGTTCAAAAATTCAGAAATATTGGCATTTTAGAGGAAAAATGAATAGAGCCAAAGAAGTACATAGCAATTGTAAAAATTGTGCCACAAAAACAACATATTACCTACAAATTAAAATCAATGGCAAACATTTGACATTAAAAAAACAAAAAGTAACACAAATGTTAAGTACTTTACATGTATTAAAAGAAAGGCACTGTAGTATAATATGCCCTAAGAAAATGATCCAATACAAAAATAATCAGTATTGAATTCAATGGAATCATAGTGAAGTAGGTAGTGGTATCACATTGCGACAAGTCTTCTTATTGTGACCAACAACATGGCACCGAGAACATTTTTGCCGTTTTGTCCCACGATGCTCACCAATAGATGGTATCCTTGACTTTCTCGGACGACCAACTGGCCTTTTCTCACAAAGGGGAGGCTTGCAGCAAATGCTCAAAACATTGGAAGGAACCACCCAAGATGATGGGTCTGTAATTGGATGCATAACAGCACTCCAAGTAGAATACCAATAGTGGCGTGTGTAATATGGAGAAATAAAATCATAGCACGACAGGTGAGGTCGAACACCAATAACAGCAACAACATGAATGCAAACAAAATGAGACAATTGAAACTCCCCACATGTACATGCCTTGGCATTGAGATCAACAACAAAAGAACGGGAATGTCTATCAACCACTTCAAATTCCAAATATGAGCACGGCTTTACCTAGACTAATGAAAAAGTGAACAATAATATGTAACTTGACAATGGAAAGGACAATGCAAAAACATATAAGAAACTGTATGAAAAATCCGAAGGTGGCAGAATGTACCATATGTTGTAGGAAACTTCCAAAGATTAGGCATTAATATAAATGGACAGAAATATTGCAGAAGAAAAAACAAATAACCCTGAGTTTCCTAGCTTGACTTTGAAGTGAAACCAGTAGCTTTTCACGTTTTTTTGTCAAAAAAGAGGTTGTCTTCTCAGCCTTTTCCTTTCTCTCAGTGAACCATTGTTGCATTCTTACTCTCAAAAAGTCAATGAGTTTAGCGACAGAATACTCCCTTGCTGAAACATCTACATTGTTCATTGACTCTGCACAATTTGATGTCATTATATCATACCTACGAGGACCACACATGCACTTTGCCCATTTATGACTGCCAATTTTTTCTAGCCATGGTCGTATACGGGTATCTTCGGAATCCAACAATGCCATGTACTCTTCATACTCCTTCACAGTTGAAGCCATATAAGAAGCTTTGAACTTCCAACCTAAATCAACCGCGGAGCCCTTGAATTTAGAAATCATGTTACGACGCAAATGCTCAACACAATATCCATGACCAGCATGTGGAAAAATCTTTTTAACTGCACTAAGCAAGCCCTTATGTCTATCTGATACAATGTACATGTCCTCGCGGAACATCAATGCTTCACGAACTTTAGCAAAAACCCATATCCAAGACTCTTTAGATTCTGAATCACATATGCCAAATGCTAGTGGGACAATTTGGCCATTTTCATCTTGAGCACAGGCTGTGAGAAGGGTACCCTTGTAATACGCCTTCAAAAATGACCCGTCTGCAATGAGAACTGGTCTGCAATATTTCCACGCCACCATCCAAGGTAAGAGGGATATGAAAAAATAACGGAAGGTATTATCTTCTGAAGTTATAAGAGAAATTAGAGAATTTGGATTAGCTTTTTCAAGAGCATACGCCAAAGACGGTAGCAATTGGTATGAGTCAGAATCCGTTCCAAACTGCTTCTGCATAGACATTTGGCCTATAAGGCTTTTTTGAGCTTTCCAAGCCTACGCGTAAGAAATGGAAATATCATGATTCAGAAGCATGTCTTCCCTTATTTCATTTGGCCTATAAGGCTTTTTTGACGCATCCAAAAATTTATGCGATACAAGCTCTTCAACAGTGCGGTAGGTCGCTTGGCGATGTTTGCCTTGACGAAAATCAAAAGAGCACGTATGTGATGATGTAAATCTGCAGAAAACAAAGTACTAAAAATGTGAATATGAAAAGAATGTGGAAAATATGCCAACATAATGGAATAAAAGACAGACAGAATGGTTCACTAAATATACAGTAATGGAGAAATACCTTCGTATCTGAAACATTTGGACACCACGTAGTCTTACAGCCCTCACAGCCCATTTACATTTTTTATCCAAGCAGATAACGTGTAAACATGTCTTCTTTGATGTTAGTGTCCTGAATTGGAACACATTATCTATTGCGTACAGCTTCAAATGGTGAAGAAGATCTGCTTTAGAATTGTAAATAGCATGCAATACAATCTGAGTGGGGTGATAGTGAGTGATGACATCGAGATTATGATGAACAGAAAAATTGTCATTACACATTGAAGAAGGTGACGGAGTAGAGCTAACTTCTGGGGTAGGACTACGAGAGAGCACATCTGTATTGGTCATATGAGTTTGGGAAGTGTCTGTAACATTGACCTCATTATTAACTTGGACGTAATGTTCTTCAATACTGTTGAAAGAAGAACGAATATGACCAGAAGATTGATTTAAGAAACATGGAATTTCTGGTAGAACAGTTTGTACAACGGAATTTGTGGGACAAGATACAACAGGTTGTGCAACAGGTTGATCAACCAAGAATTCCACACACAAGGGAGATTTTTGAAAATCAGTTTGAAGAGACTTAAGATAAAGGTAAAAACGAAACGTTTCGTCATCATGGATAGAAACAGATGGAGGACAACCATCAACAATGTAAGAAAGATTAAAGTGGTTATTTGATTTGTAAGGAGAAAATATGGAAGATAATTGTTCCATGAATGCTGTGTAGTTAGCAGAGAAAAGAACTTGCATAGCAAAGGTGGATCTGCAATTGAAGTTGTAGTCATTGTCCCAAGTACCATCAACTTTCACCATAAGCAGAAGAACAGGATCCATATTGACAACTAAGGAGAAAAAGAATAAGAAACAGAACTAAAAAGGTCATAAACATATAGCAAAATGCCAAATTTATGGCAATAACAAAGAAACAGAATTAAATAAAACAGTATAACAAAAAAGGCATATAATCTTATGAAAAACGCCAATAATTCACAATGATTCAGATTGTGAACTTGGTCAAAAAAACAGTATAACAAAGAAACAGAATTAACCAAGTTCACAATGGCAAGTTTATGGCAATAACAAAGAAACAGAATTAACGTATAGCAAAAAACGTCATAAGCCTATAGCAAAATGCCAAGTTTATGGCAATAATAAAGAAACAGAATTAACCAAATTCACAATGATTCAGATTGTGAACTTGGTCAAAAAAACAGTATAACAAAAAAGGCATATAACCTTATGAAAAACGCCAAGTTTTTAGCAATAACATCCCTGACAGTGATCAAGCAATGAATCTCACATGAAACAAGACATTAGAATTTGATTAAGAGTAGAAAGGATGATAATGTTAATAAAACGAAGTAAGTAGCAAATGATTCAAACAAAAGTGAATTCTCAAATAACAGTATAATCACCAAATTAAACACAATGATTGTGATCGTCAACCTGGTCATAAAAAAATACAAATGAAAATTGAATTTCACATACCAACAAGTATAATCGAACGGATTGCTAAGTTGAGTTGAAGAGATGATCGAACGGATTGACCTTGAATTTGTTGAGTTCCAGAACTCGTCGCACGGAAGAATAGCCAGTATAATCGCAAGTTGAGTAGAAGAACTGATAGAACAAATAGGACTGTTAAACGAAGAGCTTATTCGGTTGAATTTATTCGGTTGCAGAGCTCTGATCGCAAAAGAGGAAGTTAAACGAAGAAGAAAGGCGATGGCAGAGCTCCGATCACAAAAGAATAGCCAGTATGATCGCAAAAGAATAGCCAGTATAATCGCAAGTTGAGTTTATTCGGTTGCAGAGCTTCGATCGCAAAAGAGGAAGTTAAACGAAGAAGAAAGGGGGTGGCACGAGCAACGGATAACTAACGTATTAAACTGGCAGGTATTATGTCGGTACTGATATTATGAGTTAAACTAGGCTTAAAACATAAAAGGGGTAAAAAGGGAAAGCTAAAGTAAGCATGTTTCCAAATAGGACTAATGTGATCCTATTTTGAATTAAAAACATAAGTAATCTTATTTTAGATTTTTAGGCTAGTTTTAGTCCTATTTAGGCTAATTTCTGTTCCGCTATTCATTGGTTTAAATGTGATGTTGATATGTATGTTCACTACTGAGTATGGATGGATTATGTTCATGGACGCCTTGCATGATCACGTCACGCTGACTTGCGAGTGACGTCACTTGGTCATACGGCGGTTGTACACGTGCTTAGATGCGGTCTGGGGCGTGACAATTAAGTGGTATCAGAGCCATCTCAGTTCTAAACTATGTAATCAACCTCTCACAAGAGATTTTATAAAAAGAATTTTACCGAAAACCATGAGCATGTATTTTGAGGTTCATAGAGCTATTTTTACCTAGGTTGCAAGGTCTCTAGCTGTTAAGATGGTACCCTTAACAATTGGTATGACAATGACTTGGGCCAATATGTGTCTATAACGTGTTCCGTCAATTGACATTGATTGGAGTCTGACGACTCGTCCAAATTTCTTTGTAGAAATGGAGGGTAGATGTATGCCAACGAGGAACAACCCTAGGGGACTTGCTACGGGAGCCTCCGTGGGGGCTAGCCGAGCCACATCCCTTGGTACTAGGGGGAGAAGGGGAGGCCGTGGAGGCCGTGGGGCCACCGTGCCCAGACAGTGAGCGATGGCCACGTAATCTCGGTGTATGAAACTAACACCGAGAACTATGACTCGACATTTGTTCCTGAGACGGAGCATGAGAAGACCCCATATGATGGGGGTAACTTTCACACTGACGATGATGATAATGATGAGAGTGATGTCCGATTCACTCAAATGGGGGAATTGCTTGAATGGTATCAAAAGGAGAAACTAAGAAGAGAGCTTAGACACCAAGCTAGGCGTGCCTCTCAAGGGGGTTCGGGTCAAGGAAGCCGGGGAGCTTCAAGGGCCGTTTTTGGGACGTCTCAAGGTGGACGTGGAGGAGATTTTTGCGTAAGAATCTCCAAGTATCTCAAGGAGGTTAGGACCTTGGGTTGTAGGTCCTTCGACGGCACTGATGATATTATCGTTGCCACCGATTGGATCAAGAAAGTGAAGGATGCATCGAGGGATATGCAGGTCACACCCGACGTGAAGTTGACTGTTGCTTCATGTTTGCTTGAAGGAATCACTTCTACATGGTGGGAGAGTGTAGAAGTAAAGTACCGAGGGACCATCACATAGGCGAACTTTGAACAGGAGTTCTATGCCCAATACTACTCCGACTACGAGGTTAATGTTAAGCGTAGGGAGTATACGAACCTCAAGCAAAAGGAGGGTGTAACTGTCAAACAACTGGAGCAAGAATTCAGAACCTTGGCGAGGTTCTTACCGGAGTATGCGGCCGATGAGGACCACATGACTAAACATTATTGGGATGCCTTACTCTTAGACATCCGTGATCGGGCCACGTACTCTCGCTATATGACCTTTAGCGAGGTGGTAGAGCAGTGCCTCCTTGGGGAAACCCAATGGAATGAGAGGAAAGAAAGAGACGCCGAGGAAGCGAAGAAAAGGAAGTGGCATAGTTCGGGACCGCACGACCATTCGAGGAAGAACAACCACGGAGGCGGTGGTTCGCTCAAGGCACCGGAACCACCGGCGAAGAAGAACAAGGACTTTAGGTGGCACGTGTCCCCCTCTCAACGTTCAGGGCTGCCTAGATGTGCTAACTGTTCAAAGAATCATTTTCGGGAAGTGCAATGCACCCCCGAGGTGCTACCAATGTGGGAATACGGGTCACATGAAGACCAATTGCCCACAATTGGGGAGAGAAGGGACTTCGGGAGCCGGAGGTGGAACCATGACGGGGAGGATCCATGCTGGACCATCACACGGCGGAACGGGAAGGGGCGGTGCATCAACAAGCAACATCGCGTCCGTCAACCAAGGCGAGGCCCAAGCAAGGGTCTACGCGATGACCGAGGCTGATGCTCGGGCCAACCCGACTCTGTGGTAGGTAATCTCTTGTTTACACTTTTATTTTTCATGTACTTAAGTGTTAAAGACTTTATTGAGCATGTACGGGCCCACCGATGGCATTTTCGGCTCGTTTTTGAGCGAAAAACGAACTTAATTTTGCCCAGGGGTGAACCGGCGCCGGTTTGGGCTTGAACCGGCACCGAGCTAGTGTAAAATGGGGTGAAATGGCGTGGGCAGTTGGCTACCCGGCGCCGGCAGGAGGTACACCTGGTGCTGGCACGGGCATATTTTTCCAGGTTGGCGTTCCAGTAGCATACCCGACGCCGGCCAAGGGGGTAACCCGGCACTGGTCCGGTGTATTTTTGGCCGAAAATTTCCGTTAAGCCTCATTTTGATCCGGTACGTTGGGTAGTGTGTCTTACATGACTTATATATGTAGGAACACTAAAGATCAATGATAGAAACGCAAGAATTCTCATCGATACCAGGGACAACGCTCATTTGTGAGTGAAGCGTTTGTCGAATGTTTAGACGTACCATTGATAGCCATGACGCAACCCCTGTTGGTCTCTACACCGTTAGGAGACGATGTGGAGAGGAGACACTATTATCCTTCGTGTGAGGTAGAAGTGACGGGTCAACCCTTGACATGTGACTTCGTACCCCTAAGCATGTTGGAGTTTGATGCGATCATCGGAATGGATTGGCTTGAGAAGCATCGTGCTCGAGTGGATTGCTGCGCCAAAGTTTTGGAACTCGAGGATAATGAGGGAAACGTCTTACGTTTCGAGGGAGATCGAGGAAAATCTCATAGTTGTATCATACCCGTGATGAGGGCACGGAAGATGATGAAGAGAGGATGCCACGCATACCTTGCTTATGTGGTGGATGAGACAAAGAAAGAGATCGACATCAACGATGTACGTGTCGTGTGAAAATATCCGGATGTCTTCCCCAAAGACTTACCGGGGCTTCCGCCCGATAGAGACATCAAATTTGTGATCGAAGTAGAGCCGAGGACCAAACCCATTTCGATTCCTCCTTATCGAATGACACCGGTAGAACTTCAAGAGTTGAAAGTTCAATTACAAGAGCTATTGGACAACGGGTTTATTAGATCTAGTCATTCACCGTGGGGAGCACCAGTACTTTTCGTGAAGAAGAAAGATGGTACACTAAGAATGTGTATTGACTACCGACAGTTGAACAAGGTCACAATAAAAAATAGGTATCCTCTACCGAGGATTGATGACTTGTTTGATTAACTTCGGGGTGCGATTGTGTTCTCAAAGATTGATTTGAGGTCGGGCTATCATCAATTGAAGATAAAAGAAAGCGACATACCTAAGAGTGCATTTCGCACTAGGTATGGTCATTAAGAGTTCCTCGTGATGTCATTTGGGTTAACCAATGCACCAGCGGCATTCATGTACTTGATGATCGTGTGTTTAGTGAATACTTAGATCAGTTTGTGATTGTATTCATTGATGACATCTTGATATACTCGAAGAACGAAGAAGAACATGAGCATCACTTAAGGCTTGTACTTGAACAACTCTTTGCCAAGTTCTCTAAGTGTGAATTTTGGCTCAAGGAGATTGGTTTCCTCGGTCATATCATATCCGGTTCGGGCGTTGCAGTGGATAACGCCAAGATAGCAGCCATCATTGATTGGGAGAGACCCATGAGTGTGAAAGAGATACGTAGTTTCCTTGGCTTAGCGGGTTACTATCGTAAATTTGTTGAGAAATTCTCCGTGTTGGCGTCACCACTAACGAAGCTCACGAAAAAGTGGACTAAGTTCGTATGGGACGACAAATGTGACAAGGGATTTCTTGAACTAAAGAAATGACTTACCGAGGCACCAGTTCTTGCCCTACCCATACAAGGTGGTGACGCCAACACGGACTAAGAGTCTTTCTCATTATTTATAATTATCTAACGAAAGTATTTATACGGAGTATATGCTTGTCTAAATATATCTGCTTAGTACACCTATTATGGTTAAACTTTACGAGTACAGAGCAACTAAGGTAAATTGGGTTCGTCGGTTGTAAACAACAATTTTGAAAAAGAAGAAATAGCGCATCTCGTTCCCTAGAGTGTACGATAATGCTGTTTTGAAATGTTTAGAAGTTTAATTTATTAGAATAATAAATTGAAGTATAATTGAGTGCACCGAGTTGGAAAACATGCAATCATGTTTGGAGACGCCTAAATTGCAGATGTCTTGTAACGATAATCAAGTTATTTAGTACTCCGTATTTAGTAAGTTCATATTATGAGAATTATGCATTAGAAGAAAAAGATGAATTAAAAAGTAGAGGTGATAGAAAATACCTTGTTGTTGGCAGAGAAAGATGAAAATGGGAATGGATATGTTAGACCTTCTGCCTTCGGAAGTATATGTGTTCGTGGCTATCTATGACAGTTTCATAACGGTAGAGGGAAGTTTGAATAGGCGAGCATAACTTTTGTAATCCTTCAAAACCCTCCAAATGCTTAATTTTTAAGTTCCCCCAATTTGAAATAATTTGAAGGATAATTAACAAAATGGTAATTTAAGCTAAATTAGAAATGAATATCAACTCAATGATTTGAATTCGTCATATCTCAAAGTGATTTTAATTATAATTCCTTCAAAAACACGCTCCTTCCAATTTTATAACTCCCAAATACAAAGAAAGGCTTTCTCACCCTCCCTTCCCTTTCCCCTCCAACAACATAACTCCAAAGCCTTCTCCTCCCATTCCCTCCAAACTCCCAAACAACCCTTAGGGAGACGTTTTAAGCCGTTAATTTTAGATGTTTATGTTGACGGAACATGTCGAAAGGCTAAAGCTAGGTAGCGGCATAACGGAAATACTGCGATTCGCAAGGGAAAATGGAGAAAAGACTAAAATCTGTTTTGGAGATTACTTCCTAGCAATGAAATCCCAAATATATGAATTCCTCCTTACCCTAATGATATCAACCTAGCAAGCTTGTGATTTTACTACTGAATTAGGAAATGGACTCTTGAATCTCTCTCATGATTCACGAATTAGCAGAAAACCTCTAAACTATCTTTACAAACAAATTTATTGTGGGGTTTGGTGTTAGCTTTCCCACAAAAAATATTGAGGCTAAAAAGCAATGTTTAACCCAAAGCATGAGATAAAAATCAAATGTTAGTAAGATAGATCGTGTCTTTCTCATATGAATCAATCGTCACCATCATCATTTAAATCTTAACTAGTATTCTACCCGTGCGATAAACGAGAAAATATATTACTCATATGAAAAAGTAAGTTTTTGAACCACGTGAATTATTCATGTAATTTAATAATTTGTCACATATAAATTAGATTGTCATAATGTAATAATTGTAAATATAAATGAACAGAACAAAATCTAAGAAACAAAAGATTTCCACAATAATAAAAGCATATTGAAGGATGAAAGTTATAAATGTTTTACAAATTTCAAAATACTTGCATAAATACAACATTTGTTGTTACATTGATACTTTTGCGATTTTTGTGACATATAACTATTTTCTAACCACCGCATCTGAGTTGGCTGGTTTCTCCCCTGCCCCTGATTTAGGATGATTTTTTTTGCGGAAAGTGAAATTACATTTTAAGATTATAGGCGGAAATTGCTTAGGCGAGAGAATTTTCTCTCTCCAGTGCAGTGCTTTTAGGTATATGATGATGATTTTTTTTTGTGGAAAGTAAAATTACATTTTAGGATTTTAGGCGGATAATTTTCTATCTGCATTGTAGTGCTTTTAGGTATAGGATAGGATGAAATTGCATTTTAGGATTTTAGGATTATAGTATGATGATTTTTTTTGTAGAAAGTGTAATTACATTTTAGGATTTTAGGCGGAGAATGCTTAGGCGGGAGAATTTTCTCTCTCCAGTGTATTGCTTTTAGGTATAGGATGATTTTTTTTGCGGAAAGTGAAATTAAATTTTAGGATTTTAGGCGGAGAATGTTTAGACGAGAGAATTTTCTCTCTTCAGTGTAGTGCTTTTAGGTACACTAGTTACTCCACCCTTGCGCTGCACTGGAGTGAGAAACCCACATAATAATTTAGATATAATTATATATTTTAAAAATATGATTGTGTTAGAGTTATTTGAAAACATTAAATAAATTATGAATAAATGGTAAGAACTAAATGTAAAACATCACACGATGAAATGGATGTGCATTTAAGTCCACCACACTATAACGAAAATTATAAATTACTCTACAGTACATGTCTTTGTAAACAACATTCAATGTTGATTTGGTTGGTTGTCCATCTTCGTCATTACAAACGCCAACCCATGAACTTGTTACTTTCCACACCATCACGTACAAATGTTTGTGAGTAATAATGGGGCGTCAGAGTAAGATGAGAACCTTTTTCAATAATTGTCCGTGACTACAAGGCGGGACAATTTTAGGCGGAGAATGTTTAGGCGGGAAAATTCTCTCTCTCCAATGTAGTGCTTTTAGGTATATAAGATGATTTTTTGGGGGGAAAGTGAAATTACATTTTAGGATTTTAGGCAGAGAATGCTTAGACGGGAGAATTTTCTCTCTTCAGTGTAGTGCTTTTAGGTACATGATGATGATGATGATTTCTTTTTGTGGAAAGTGAAATTACATTTCAGGATTTTATGCAGAGAATGCTTTGGTGAGAGAATTTTCTCTCTTCAGTGTAGTGCTTTTAGGTATAGGATGATGATGATTTTTTTTTGTGGAAAGTAAAATTACATTTCAGGATTTTAGGCGGAGAATGCTTAGGGGGGAGAATTTTCTCTCTCCAGTGTAGTGCTTTTAGGTATATATATATATATATATATATATATATATATATATATATATATATATATATATATATATATATATATATATATATGATGATTTTTTTTTTTACAGAAAGTGAAATTTTATTTTAGGATTTTAGGCTACAATAACAGAAACCACAAAATAGTTGATTTAAAGGGAAAGTGGCAAAGTTTTTTGGGACGTCCCAAAAAGGAAAGATGGCAAAGTTTTAAGGGACGGAGGGAGTACATTTTAGGATTTTAGGCGGATAATTTTCTATCTGCATTGTAGTGCTTTTAGGTATATGATAGGATGAAATTACATTTTAGGATTTTAGGATTATAGTATGATGATTTTTTTGTGGAAAGTGTAATTACATTTTAGGATTTTAGGCGGAGAATGCTTAGGCGGGAGAATTTTCTCTCTCCAGTGTAGTGCTTTTAGGTATAGGAGGATGATTTTTTTGCGGAAAGTGAAATTACATTTTAGGATTTTAGGCGCATAATGCTTAGACGGGAGAATTTTATCTCTTCAGTGTAGTGCTTTTTGGTACAGGATGATGATGATTTCTTTTTGTGGAAAGTGAAATTACATTTCAGGATTTTAGGCAAAGAATGCTTAGGCGAGAGAATTTTTTCTCTTCAGTGTAGTGCTTTTAGGTATAAGATGATGATGATTTTTTTTTTTGTGGAAAGTAAAATTACATTTCATGATTTAAGCGGAGAATGCTTAGGCGAGAGAGTTTTCTCTCTCCAGTGTAGTGGTTTTAGGTATAGGATATCCAAACCTCGTCCAATAGATAGTTGTTGCTAGGACTTCATCTATTTCGACAACCAAGTAGTTTAAGCAAGTGCTGATAGAGTAACTTAGACTATTGGGCTCGGGGCTGGGGAAAAATACCGAAACGGCTGAAATACCGATTTTACCTTATCGAAAAATACCAATTTTACCGAAATTTTCCCTTACCATAAATTTTGGTAGGGTATGTTACCATACCGAACTATTTCGGTTCGATATCGGTATGTACCGTATCAATTTTCGGTATACTGAAATACCGTAATACCATATTAATATATATTTACATATACCTATAATTATGCCTCTTGGGTCAAAAACAGCACTGCCCCAATTGTACACCGGACTAATAAGAGTTTTAGCCCAGCCGAAACTCCAAACTCCACTGTGTCGCCCTGTTGGAAATGTCAAATTGTGAAGGACCGGGCTGGAAGAGCGGAAGAAGAGATAGGGTTTTACTAGTTCGGAGAGGTCTTCAGTCTCCACTCTCCAATACAATCGCTATTCGGCGGGCTCTTGGCGACGTATATTCTTGAAGACATTCGGCGGGCACGAAGCAATGGGTTGAACGAACAAAAATTTGGCCTTCTGAATTCATCTGAATACGAAAAGGTATTTTGTATTCACCAATTATCTTCTTCTGAGTTCTGAGTTCTAATATGGAAACATGATTTTCTCTTGCTTCTTGTACATAACCCATGGATGGAAACGAAGGAAACACTCGAAGTAAAGCATTTCCGTTTATGTAGATATGGATGGCTGTAAGCTCTCTTCTGCAGAGTAGATTTTGAAGAACTATTATGGATTGTAATAGTACAAGCATAAATAATGTCAATAGTTATACTGCTGTCTAATTTCATAGGTTATATTGATCAGAGATACCTGTTTTTAGTGTTTGAAGTTCTGAACTGTTACTTTTCAAAATAAAAGAAACTTGAACAATGTTTTCTCAATTGATTTTGAAAGCTAAAGCGTTAAAATCTTAAATTATATACTACTAATAAAGTAGTGCTCCCTTTGCACCCAAATCAAGAGTTAAGTAACTTGGCACTATTAATATGTACGTGTTACCAGTTTATACCCGTCTGCCACCTTGAATTGGAGTGAATGTTATTGCACTGAGATCTGAATTACTAGTGGTACTAGTATGTTTGGCCAAATAGAATATAACTTTCTTGTGAGCAACTAGTACATGGCTTCTTAGCCTTCTTTGAAAAACGATACAAGAACTAATCTAGTTTTATTTTAGAGTTGAGCCTAAACATACTAGCCCCACACTCCCACTACTAATTCAGATCTCAGTGCAATAACATCCACTCCAATTCAAGGTGTCAGATGGGTATAAACAACAGAGGGTTTGAATATTTGGGTGATTAGGAAGTTGGTTCTTCCGAGTAGTTTACTAGCATTTGTAGGGGGCACCTGCATCTTTTAATATTATTTCTGTAATATTTGGTCTAAGTATTCATTTAAAAACTCAGGAGTGTGTGATTGTATGATTGGGTATTGGAAATCAGTTTAACTAATACTGCTATCTTGTTACTCTTTTATTCTACAGACTGGCAATAACTGAAAGTCTCCAGGAAGCAGCGATTGTGGCGCTCGAAGCCTGCGAGCCCTCTTTGGCCTGCAGCAGCGACTCCGCCTTTCTTCCTGATGAAGGCGACTGTAGGCGGCTGGCGGCGAGAAAATAGCTGCTGTCTTTATTCTCCAGACCTAACCTAGCTACGGGAAATGAATGCAGGCCACACGTTTTGAAGAAGGGCCTCCTAGCGCGGACTGTTCGCTATCAGACTCCGCTGGGA